TCCAAAGAGCGGCTAGTGGTTTTAAACTGGTGACCTTTTGGTGACCAGCCCAGCCCAACATATAACCGCTATGCCACCAGGCTCCTCAAATGACCAGCTAGTGTGGAGCTCTTAAGGCCCTTTCCCCAGGTGCTGCAGACTCCAGCGATAGGAAGCCCGAGCCGCAGCCCTGAGAAAGCTTGACCAGGGTTTCTCAAAGAACCCCCCAGGCCTACCTGCTTCAGAGTTACCTCGGGGTGCTAGCTAAAGAAGCTGATTCTGGGACAGTCCCAAATTCTCTGGGTGGCAGGGGCCTAGAGATCCAGGTTTTAACTACTTCTCCAAGTGATGCTAATGAATGTGAAACTTTGAGGAGACACCCCCACCCCACCCCCTCCAGTGCCTCTGTCCCAGGTTGAGGCTCCTGCCCACCTCTCCCCCTCACCTGCCAGGTGTGTCTGGAATAGACAGTAGCAGCTTCCACAATCTGCACTTTCCCGTGCCAAGCTGATCTGTGGCCATGGCCTCACTCGAACTGTCTGCTCTGTGCGTCCGGAACTTATCGCCCCAGGATAGATGGGAAACTGAGGCCCAGAGGAGGGCTGGTAATGCCTCCAGTCTAGCAGTTAAAAGACACCAGGCTTCTCATTGGGTAGGTCTGGCCACCGACTGACTACAGTGAAGGGAACCCTGAGCCCCTGGTGGGGAGAGGCGTCCAGGTTGGCTGGGTTGGAGCCTGGAGTGCAGCCTCCCAGGGAGGCTAGAGTTGACCTCTGCCTGGTCTGTGAGGTGGTTCTGGGCCTCTGCCAGCTCCACCTGCAGCAGCCAGTGGAGTCCCTGCCCATTCCTAGCATAGCTGAACACACCCAAGTGACAGCCCTCCTTTCCATCTGTACCAGCAGCCGGGCCGGGCACGGAGGCCAGCCTCGTGACTTTGTGTCTCTCCTGGTGCCATGTTCAAGGGCCCAGAACAGTGAGGGGAGCCAGAGTCGCGCACTGTCACTGCACCGCGCCAGGCGCCAGGCGGGCATTGCTCAGCCAGCTGGTGTTGTCCTCCACGGCCTCCTGCTTTACAGCTTGGCAGCCTCGGCCTGGGAAGCCCTCATCCATAACTGCCCAGCTGGGTGGCAGCCCCACCCCGGCCTTATTCCCCTCTCTGGACGTGCCCCCGCCGCCTTGGAGATCTCTTGAGTTTGCTGGTAAAGTCCAGAACAGGGACGCAGAGAGAGGGCTGAAGAACACCTTCCTCAGACCAACTCCCCCACCCCAACCCCATTGCCGACATGGGCCTTGGGCTTCCTCTCTGAAGATGAGTGTTTGTGGGGCGCGTGCTGCTGGGAGAAGCAGATGAACCGGGATCCCGAGACCGTGCTTCCGGCAGGGAGCAGAGTGCGTGCCCTCGCCCCTGCTGTGCGGCTCTGGGCAGGCCACAGGAGCCTGGCTGTGCTCATCTAGACAAAGGGGACAGTGCCTCCATCCCAGCGCCAAGCGCCGGCTTTCTGGCCAGTGAGCCTCCCCTAACAGTCTCCCTCTGGGTCACCCTGCAGTTGGAGGGGGCATCCTGCTGGCCTGCCACAGTGCACAGGTGCCGACGGTCCCTGCAAACGAGCCCCTGGGCCCAGGTCATGGTTCGCCCCCAGCAGCGCTCCCAAACTCAGACCCCCCCAGGGGCTAAGCAAAGGCGATGAAAGTGTAGGTGCTGCAGCCCCTTCCCCTCCCTCTCCTCCATTGTTCCACCATTCTCACATGGACAGGGACCCCTAAACCTTTAGCCCAGGGCTCAGCAGGAGCAAGGCCATGCCTGCCCAGCAGCCAGCAGAGGGACCCTGCACCTGCCTCCGGAGAGGGTCCAGCAGCCCCTGTGGCCGCAGCAGCTCAGGAGACCTTTCAGGCTGGGAAAAACCTAGTCCCTCAGGGTCCGGGTGGCGTGTGTGTAGGGAGCTGGACTAGGAGCTCAGAATACAGCCTTTTCGCTGCTCTGCTGTCTAACAGCCTGGCACCTAGTCCAGGGCGCAGGGCACCCACCCGCCTGTCCTGGCCTGCTGTGTGGCTGGGGCCCAGCCTCATACCCTCTCTAAGCCTCTGCTGCTCAGCTGGCAGACAAGGGTGGGTCCGAAGTTTAAGGTCATAAAAAGTGTATAAAGCGCTTGGCTCAGCACCCAGCCACCAAAGCGCCAGGGAGACACCAACTCACCCTCGAGGGATGTCCTTGGCCCAGGAAGGAGGGGAGGGGCCAGCTTTGGCCCAGTGGGAATAGAGCTATTTGTCAACATTCAGCCCAGGGCCCCCAGCAGGGGAAGCTTGACCTGAGGCAGCGGTGGGGGCACACACTAAGCCCAACGGAAGCCCCCTAAGAGGCTTTGGCCTTGCCCACAGCTCTTCCGTGCACAGCAGGCTGTGCTCAGCCACCAGGCTGGGAGTTAATTAAGTTAGTGATGAACCCAAACCTCTCTCCAGGGAGCTAGGAACTGCCCCTGTTCTCCTCTGTTGTAGATTAATTCTTGTTTTTCCTTTTTTCCCCCCCCCCCCCTTCTTCCCAAGGAAGAGAAAAAAAAGCCTTATTTATTATCATTTTCCCCACTGTTGGCATGGCAACACAGGCGTACGTTACTGAGCTACAGGCAGCCCCACAACCATCCCAGCAGCCACAGGCCCAGCCCCAGCCGCCACAGCCGCCGCCGCCACCACCGCTGCCACAGGCGCCGCCACAGGCCCAGCCCCAGCCAACTGCCGCTGCTGCCACTGCCACCCCCCAGCCCCAGTATGTCACCGAGCTGCAGAGCCCCCAGCCCCAGGCGCAGCCACCAGGCAGCCAGAAGCAATACGTAACGGAGCTTCCGGCTGCCCCCACGCCCACACAGCCGTCCGGGGCACCCACCCCTGCCCCAGCATCCCAGCAGTACATCGTGGTCACAGTAGCAGGTAAGTGTTCGGAGCCAGGGGGCTCTCTGAGCTACTCAGAGGAGCTTAACGGAGGAGGGGACGGTGGGAGGGAGTTGGCAGCTGTCTGCCTGAGTAATGGCAATGTGACGCCAACCACCCTGACGCTGCCACCACCACCACCTCTGTACAGTGGCACCCAGGAAGGGTCACCGGGGCCAGGAGGAGCCACCCTGCCCTTTCTGGGAGGTTCCCATGGCTGAGCAGGTGCCTGGGGTGTCACTTTCTCACACCTTTGAGATCTGGGGTCCTGGCACCCTGGGGACTTTGCCTCCCTCCCTGGAGCATCGTCCTCAGTCCCTGGTTCCTCCCAGGGTGCTATGGGCTGGGTGCAGGGAGCAGGGAAAGGGGTTCTCAGCTTCCCTGATGGACTGGGTGCAGGAGAGAGGCCCTGGTCCCCCTTGTGGACAATGGTGTGGCTGGAAGCCAGCAAGAGGTACTGTGGGATGATACGAAGAGTAGCACCAGTGACCAGGCCATCTGGGAAGTTGGGGCCCAGGGAGGGCCAGGGCAGAGCCTCCTAACCAACTGGGGAGAGAGCCCTATGAAGTGGGCTAGCCTCTGCCTTCAGGACCCCGCCTGGCCTGAGGTCACAGCAGCCACCAGTTCTCAGCACCCCCCAGTGATGCTGTGCTGCCTCCTCGTTGGCCCCCATTCCTGTCCCCCCCCTCAAAGGCCACACTCCTGGTCCCTGAGCCTGTGGAGCCGTGAGGGGGTTGGTTTGGCCCGACCCGCTGCCTTCTCAGCAGCCTGCATGTGCCAAGCTGAAAGATGCTCCTTCAAGCCTCTTCGGAAACCCTGTGGGCCAGCTCTGCTCTGGCCCATAGAGAGACAGCTATGAGGTCTATTGCTAATGCCCCAGCAGCCTTCAGCGCATGTGCTACATCCTCCAGGACATCCACCTCAAACTAGCACACTAGACCTGTCACATCCTGGCCCCACCCACCCCACCTTCTGCCAGGCTTGGTTGGGACACCCGGGGCGGGGCGGGGGGGTGGGGGGGGGCTACCTTCAGGTCTGCCCAGTGTTCCCCTCATGACCCCCCAGCCCCACCTCCCACCACTGGCAAGCTGCTCCATCACCTTTCTGGGCTCCCCAGCTGAGGTGGGAGGTGGGGGTGATCGTGGTGGGAGGGGAGTGCCTGACCCTGAGCCAGGAGGGTAGGGCACCCAGAGCCCAGAATGGTGTGCTCACCAGAGCTCTCCACCCCTTTTCCCGCCCCTACCTGTCCCCTCTCCTGGGCCCACCAACTATGGGGTTTTGCTATCTCAGGGTCCAGGGACCCCAGAGTGAGGGTCTAGAGTGGGTGACAGCTCTAAACCCCTGACACCCCAAGTCTGCTCTCTTTTCTGTTTACCCTGCTCTCCCCCAGCCCGCCCCCACTCCCACAAGACCCTGCTAATGTGCTGGGTGCAGGGGTGGGGTGGGGAGGGCAGCCTGTGAAGCTCCTCTGAGAACGCCCCTTGCTCCTTCCAGGGTAGACCAGGATGTGGCTGGAGGCCAGGGAAGAGGAATAGGCACTGGCCCTGGGCTGGGGTTTCTCTGGATGCCTGAGAGCCCAAGGCCACCCCTCCGGGCAATGGCAGGCAGCCCTTAATCACTCAGTGCTGTGACTGCCCAAGTGACCAGAAGAGCCTGTCAGCAGTGCTACCCTGAATGGGCTGGGGGGGTGGCCCTCACCCAGTGGTCCTGGGGAGTTTCCTACCCCAGCCTGCCCCCAGCAGGGAGAGGTGGTGGCTTCACCCCTACAGGCCAAACCTGCTGTGCAGGGAGCCTCTTCCTCCTTCTCTGCAGTGACCCCACCCAAGTTGTGTCCCTTTTCACCTGGGGGCTGCCTTGGGACCTCAGGAGTTGGTCTCTTGAGTGATGGGGGTGAGGCCTTCTCCAGACTCTGAGGGGGAGGGAAGGAGAGGGGAAAGGTGGGACCAGGCCTGGAGCTGCCGCTGGAAGGCAGCTCATCTGCCCTGGCAGCTGCCCGCTGCCTGCCCAAAGGTGACTTTGCAGGCGATGTGAAGGGAGCTCAAGTTACTCATCAGGAGCAAGGCTCCAGATTCACAAGCCCCTGTCCTCCAGGCTGCCAGGCGCTGGCTCTGTGCCCTGGCGGCCAGCCAGATGGGGATGAAGCCCCCAGGGCGCTGGCACTGGCCCAGGGATCGGCCCAGCCCACCCACTTCCCTGCTTCCTGTTTCCTTGGGATTCTTGGGAGGGGGATGCATGCAGGGACCAGCCCGGCAGAGAGGGGCAGCGGTCCCTGCAAGGAGAACCCCTGCTGTCAGTTGTTGGGGGAGCAGGGCATGGTCCCCCTGCCCATCTTCGGGAGGGACTTGGGGCAGCCTTCTGAGCGGGGCCTCCCAGACCTCCCTCCCCGCCCCTCCCCTGGGAGCGGCTCAGGGAGGCCTGTTGGGTGGGTGGGGGTTGGGCGGGAGGAAGGGCAGCCGCCCCTCCGCAGAGATGCTTGTCAGATCAGATTCAGGGACAGGAAATGGGCTGCCTCTTCCTGCCTCACACAGCAGGGCCCTCCTGGCCAGGCACGCAGACATAGCTGCGGTCCCCAGCCCAGCCCACGCAGCCGCCGCGCCGCGTGAGAAGCTGAGGCTGAACCTTCACCAGCTCCCTGTGTGAGAAGCAGCCGGGGTCCAGGTCCGGGAGATGGGGTAGACACCTGATGCCAGCACTATCCTCACCCCCTGCCGCCTCCTGCTGAGTGGCCCAGCCTTGGCACTGGGGGTGGCAGGTTCTAAGCACCAGCTGCCATGCGGTCAGCAGCACCCTCCCCCCCACACACACCCTGTGCCTCACAGATACCCCAGGCAGTGGAGGGCAGGGAGGGGGCTCTCATGGTAAAGTTTTCTTAACTTTTCTCCCAGAGGGCCATCTCAGGGCAGGCCTTCCTGCATGGCCCTGGGATGCCAGGGGAGATGCCAGCAAAGAAGCTGCCTCAATGACCGTCCACAAGTTGCCCTCACATCTGCTCCCATCCAGAGTGCACTGTCCCCGCTTTGGCCCTGATGTCATGGCCCCTGAGGGACAGCCCTCCTCCCCTCCTGGCGCCCCTCAATCTTACAATGCCCTCATAGGCCCCCAGACTCACTGCCCCCCTGGACCTGCATCTGCCCTTTGGGCCTCAGCCTCAGCATGACCAGTGACACCCATGTGCCACGTGGCCTGACCCCACCGGCCATTGCCCAGCTGGGTGGCCTTGGGCAGTCACTTTCTCTGGCCTGGTGGCCTCACTTGATACTGGGGGAGAGGAGAGGGGCAGGGAAGAGCGTTTATGCCAATCCTGCCAGCCCCTTGGAGCACACAGGAAGGGTGGGTGCGGCACCCTGCAGGGAGCAGCAGGAAACACAGGCCTGGAGGCTCCTCCCATCCCCAATCTGGCTTTCAACACAGCTGGGGAGCAGGCCAGGCCACATGGGACAGGGAGAAGGGTATCCTTCCAGCTGGGGGAGCAGCTCCCAGCTGTCACTGGGGGACACCTGCTCTGCCACCCTCCTTGCCCCTGCCCCCCACTCCCTTTAATCACTCAGTGCAATGTGCATGAAACTTGACCTGTGCCCGCCGATGGTAGATGGTATCGGGGACCCAGCCTCAAGCCACAGGGCTGAGCCCGTGAAAGCCTGGCTCCACACTGGGTGATGCCGCCAGGAGGGGCTGTTTATTCCAAGGGGGTAGGATCCCCCAGGAGGATTAGCCACCCAAGGTTGCAGGTATAAAGCCACCCACACACCCGGCTGCTCCCTCAGAGGTGGGTGAGGAGCGCTGGGCTATCTGCCCCGGGTGGAGGGCAGGCATCATGTTCTATGACTGCCTCTTCTCGACCGCCTGTCAGCGTGAGTACCCGCCTACTTAGCAACACACCCCAGGACGACAGGGGTGGCAGGACATGGGAGGCCAGGGAGGCTTTCTGGGAGACCCCTCCTCTTAGCAGGGGTCATCGCAGAGGAGGTGACGCCAGGGCTGGGAAGTCAGTTCCTGTCCTAGCAACAAAGATCACCCCCTGCTCAGGCTTCCCTGTACACACCTGCAGCTCCTCAGCCCTCCTGTCAGGCACCCTTCGGTGAGGAGGGCGCGGGGGGTCACATCCAGATGTCAAGGTGCCTGGGTCCCTCTGTCCTGCACCCCACTCTGCTGAGTGGCCCTTACTAGGTTATCCAGTGGGTAAGGAGAACTCTTGGGGAGTCCCGACCTCACAGGGCCCCATGTCAGTGTGGCATCCCCTCTCTTTGGACTCAGGGTGGGGGTAGGGCAGGGACAGCCTACCAAGGATGATGACCCCCTCCCCACAGAAGGTGCCATGCGAGCCAGTGAAACCGTGTCGGAGGCCAGCCCGGGCTCCACAGCCAGCCAGACTGGAGTCCCCACCCAGGTGGTGCAGCAGGTGCAGGGCACTCAGCAGGTAGGGCATGCCCCTTTCCCAGGTGAGCGGGAGGCATGGAAGGGGGGGCAGCTGGGGTGAGGGCAAAGGCGAAGGCTCCCCTCCCTTTCACCTTCCTGCCGAGCCATCTGCTTACCCGCTCTTATCAAGATGGTCAGCGCAGCTGTCCTCCTGCCCACCTGGGCTGGCCCGCCCCTGATGCCTTACCCCCACAGCGGCTGCTGGTCCAGACAAGCGTGCAAGCCAAGCCGGGCCACATGTCACCTCTGCAGCTCACCAACATCCAGGTGCCTCAGCAGGTAAGCATGTACCCCGCCCCCAGGCCCACCCTCTCCTGCATTGGGGACCAGGACCCATCCTGGGGCTGGCCCTTCCCCAGGTAAGGTCAGGAGCAGCAGGGAGCGGAGGAGCCCCAGGAGTTGGTCTCAGCAGACAGACTTGAATGTGGGTAAGAATGGGTAGGAAAGGAGGCAAGGAACGAAGCGGGGGGGTGGTAGTGGGTAGAGTCTACCCCCCAGAGCTTCAGGCCTGTGTCCCAGGGGTGACCACAGAATTGGCCTCTGTTCTGCTGGGTTTTGGCTGAGAGCATTCTGCGTGGCCTCGAGGCCAGGTTCCCCATCACAGGCCTGGCCACACACTAGCTCTGTGACTCAGGGTGAGGTGGGGGTGATGATGGGCTGCAGGAGGAAGAGCCTCACAGCGGGCAGCCGCCATCCACGCCCGTCACTGAACCATCCTCTTCCTCAGCCACAGGCTCTCCCCACCCAGCGCCTGGTGGTCCAGAGCCCGGCCCAGGGCGGCAAGGGTGGCCAGGTCTCCCTGACGGTACACAGCACCCAGCAGGTGCACTCCCCGCCTGAGGTAGGTGGGCTCCCTGCCTGTAGACACCCAGCCAACACGACCCTTTCCCTAAGCAGGTTGCTGACCCTGCCCGCTCTGAGCAGGGCTGGCCTGGGTGGCGGCAGGGGCCCTGCCAGTCACAAACGTATCCGAGGAGCAAAGGGGCTTCCCACATACTGCCCCAAGGCAGTAGAGCCTCCTCCAGGCACCCCAGATTCACAAATACCATCTAGGCTATTGGACATGGGCAGGCCATAGTGGCCCGAAACTCTAGCTGAGTCCCCTCAGAATCCCCAGTTATTCCCGGGGGGCTCTGGCCAGGTCCTGAAGCTGTCCTCTGTAAAACAACAGGTGATACCATGAGGGCGACAGCTTGGGGGCAGCCTTGGTCCTACCACACCCCAGAGTGGCCCCAGTGCCTCAGCCCTCATCTGGGAAGAGGGTGGGGGGGCTTGTGGGGCTACTTAGAGTCAGCTCGAGCAAACTTGGAGACCAGCACCTCCCTCCCGTCAGAACCGCCACAGGCCTGCCCTCATCCCAGGGCCGTAGGGCCTTGACCTTGAGTGCCAGCCCCTGTGACATGGAGGCTGCAGGTAGCCCCGTGGGCTGAGACTGGCCTTGCAGGACCCCCAGCCTTGGAGTGACCAGGGCTGAGGCAGGCAGTGGGCACGGGATGTGTACCCTTTACCAGCCGGTGGTGCGGACAGGCCTGAGCTGGGGTTCATCAGGCCAGGTCTCCCAAGTGTCCCCAAGTGTGCGTGTCTCCTTCCCTGCAGAGATCGCCGGTGCAGGCCAACAGCTCCAGCAAGACAGCCGGCGCCCCCACCGGCACAGTGCCGCAGCAGCTACAGGTCCGCAGTGTCCAGCCAAGCATCCCCACCAGCCAAGAGGTGCCAGGCCAAGGCGGGCAGGGCTGGGGTGAGGGGTCCCCGAGGGTCACGCCTATGACCTTTCGAGTTGAGAGACCCAGCCCAGCCCAACTTGCCACCCTGGCCTTGCCTCAAGTCCTCCTTTCAGCTGGTAGGCCATCAGGGCAGAGCAGGCGTCCCACTCAGAGCGGCCCTAGGACAGCTTGGGGCCCATCAAGGCCTTGGGCCCTGAGGACAGGTTTGCCATTTGCCCCAAGACCAGACCATGGCCTACCCTTAAGGGGCTCAGATCGGGACCCCAGCTTTCAATTGTATTCCTTGGAAGAGGCCTGTTCTGAGGCCACAGGCCCAGACTATCTGCCATCTGGCTGTCCCCGCTCAAGATACAAGGGTCCCGAGCCCTGGGTAAGCCAAGGAGGGCTGTAGACACCTTTCTGAGCGTGATAGCAGAAAGGCCACCACTTTGTCAGTCTCCCACCCCACACCAAAGCCTCCCTGAATTACACACACCTGGGCTGGATTCTTAACTCCACCACTCCTCTGTCCCTGGCCTTGAGGATATGGGACCACCTGCAGGGGGTACAGCAAGGACATCGAGGGTCACCATGGCTTGCAGGCGCTGGTCTCTCAGTCTGCCCAGCTCTACCTTGGCTCTGCCACTCCCTGTCATCCTCTGGTTTCTGGGAGCCTGTATCCCACTTGTGCCTGGGCGCTCTGGGGGCTTCTCCCTAGGAGAGCAAGCGTTTACCTGGACTTGGGCTTTATGAGCCTGCCTCTGCCCTCCCAGAGGTCCGTGGTCCAGGCCACGCCACAGACGCCCAAAGCCGGGCCGGTGCAGCAGCTGACCGTCCAGGGGCTTCAACCCGTCCACGTGGCTCAAGAGGTTTGTGTCCCCCACCTGGCTGGGGAGGATACAGGTCTGAGGGGACCCCAACAAAGGGCTGGAGCCACTGGTCTTAAGGGTTCCCAGCTCTCTGCCTCCCTCATCCCCTCTTAGCCACACACCTGTGCTGCAGGGACCCTTCCCCAGCCAGGCCGAGATCTGGATTGCAGCCCACCCGGCTTTCTCAGCGCTGGGATCCTGCCATCCCACCCCCACCCCACCCCCACACCTGGGCGGGAGTCTGGCGGGATAGCAGCCCGGTGGGCGGTGCGGCCTGGGCCCTGCCCACCGTGACCCCCCAGTGTCTCTGTTTGTCCTCCAGAGTTCAGGCAGTCAGTGTCCCGCTAGGAAGGCAGAGCAGCAGGAGCCCCGGCCGGAGCCGCCGCCAGAGCCGCCGCCCCACAGGCCGGGCGCGCTGGCCTTGGAGGAGCCGCCGCTGCTGCTGCTCGAGCGCAGCGGCGAGGCCCCGGAGCTCAGCAGCCCGGAGCCGCCGCGGTTCCATTACCTGCCGGCTGCGGCTGCCGCGGCGCCCGCCGCAGAGCCTTGCGCGGAGCAATGGGTGGAGCTGGTGCGCGTGCTGCCCCCGCACCTGCTCCTGCCGCAGCAGAAAGTGGTCATCGAGCCACTGCCGGGGCTCCCGGCCAGAGCCAGCCCCGACCAGAGGGTCAGGATCCAGAGAGTCCCCCAGGTGCTAGTGTTCGGCACGGCCGCCACAGCCCTCAAAGTAGGTGGGGACAGGGGGGCGACGGGCGGGCGGGGGCGGGATCCGTGGCGCCGGCGCCCGGCCCAGGCTGCCCCCCAGCCCCGCAGGATAGGACCTCCCCTCACCTGTGGGCCAGTCCCCCGGGTCCAGGCTCTGCCCTTAGATCCTGGGGTGGAGTAGGCTCCTCGAATCCCGCCCCTGAGGTCTGGTTGGAAGTTCCAGTTCTGCGCTACAAACTGTGATCCCAGCTCAGACCCCAAGCTCCATCCCTACTGTACTGTCCAGGTCTCTAAGCCCTGCCCCCACAGTGGTCAGTTGGGGGCCACTCTCCCCAAGGCCCTGTCCATGGTCTTAGAGTTCTGCTCTAGCAGTGAGCCTCAGCCCAGAGCTTGGCACTGCTCCTGGGTCCCACCTTCCTGCCACATAGTCTGCCTGGCCCCTCTGTCCTCCCGTCAGGAGCCCCACGTGACTGCTGCCCCCAGGCCCAGCAGGAGAGTTCGGTCTGCTCTTCCAGCTGAGTCTGCACCCCTGCCAAGGCCACACCTTTTGGGCTTCTGTCCCTGACCCTGTCCAGGGTGTGTCCAGAGAGTCGTAGTGTGTCCGGGGCATCCACCCCTCGGATGTGGCAGGGGAGGCTGGGCCTTGATGTGTGGCACCCTTTCTCCCTGCAGGTGCAGCAGCTGCAGCAGGTGCCTGTGCCCCACGTGTACTCCAGCCAGGTGCAGTATGTGGAGGGCGGCGATGCCAGCTACACGGCCAGCGCCATGTGAGTGCTGATAGGACTCCTCCTGGCTGCCTCCCCCCAGCTACTAGGTTACAGGAGGCTGGGGGCTCCCCAGGGGCAGCCTGCCATCCCCCAGAGACAGAGGCCCCCACCCAGCCTGTGCTCAGCCTCAGCTGAGGGCCAAGGCCCCCATATCTAAGACCTGTGTGTTTTCACTTTAAATGTTGGCAAAATTGAACATTACTTGGCAATGGGAAATGTTAGAGGAGGAGGAGGAACTGACTCTCACTCTCGCCCCCCCCCTTGCCTACACTCTGCCTCCATGTCCTCTGATGCTGGCACGTAGAAAGCACCCCTTGTCCTGCCAGAGCACACACACACAGGCCAGCTCACTGCCATCAGCCACTTCAGACTCACAGCGACCCTCTAGGACAGGGTAGACCAGCCCCTGTGGGCTTCTGAGACTAACTCTTTTGGGGAGCAGAGGCTGCATCTCCTGTGGAGCGGCCCGTGGCTTCAAACTGCTGACCTTGCATTTAGCAGCTCAGTGTGTCACCACTGTGCCACCAGGGCTCCTATGGAAGCAGAGGCAGCTGCCCTGTTTCTTCCCCGACACACAGCCGGTGGTCCGTGTAGGTAGCGTTGTCCTTTGTAAAAACCTTGGCTTCATCCATGCTCCCTGTGCAGCTCTGCGGGAGCCAATGGACCAGTTCCTGCTGCGGCTGCCAGTGTGGGTCCCCAATGAGGCTCTGCACCAGGGCAGGCAGTGGGACCCTCAGCAGCACCCACCTCTCCACCGGAGCATTTTCTCCCTAGCTGCTACCATCCAGTGTCTTACAGTTGTGTTTTCTCTGCACTGGTCTGGGGTTCACTTTGGTCCCACCACCTACCCACAAGAGGATGACACTGGGAGTGGGCCAGCTCCTAGAGTGACGCAGCCCCTCACACTGGGCACCTTGCGCCTCTCAGGTCAGCCGCTGTTCCCAGCATGACCAGCCAGAGCCAGGCAGCGGCGGAGCAGCAGGCTTCCAGAAAGCCCGCGCTGCTGGATCATAGTGGGCATTCCAGTGGAGGCTAGCCTGAGGGTCCTAGATGTTAGGGGCCCAGGCGGGCACCTGGAGTCCTCAGCTGGTCCTCCTTGGGGTTCCTTCCACCGGGTCACAGGCACAAGGACTCAGACAGTTCTCAGTGTCCATGGGACCCTACCCTATGGAGTCCTTGGCGTCTTCCTCAGTGGCATGCTGCCTGTGCCGGCCACAACACTGGCCCCTGTCCCTAGCCCCATCCAGGACATGTCCAGAGACATGCGTGCTCATTGACTCCCTCACTCAGCGGATGTCTCATAAAATACCTTTTAAAAACCCACAGCCCTTGGGTAGCCACTCTATATAGGGCTTCCAGACTAATAATCTGTATGGGAGACCCCAGCCTCACCTTTCTCCCAAGGAAAGAGAAAAGTTGGGTTTGAACTGCCAACCCGGTAGTTAAGCAGCCCAGTGCTGACCCGACAACTCCACCAGGGTTCTTTAAAACACCCAGCCCAGCCCACCCCACCCCACCAAAAAACCCAACAAATCACTGCCACTGTATCTGTAGGATAGAGTAGAACTGTCCGGGTGAGTTTCTGAGACTAACTCTTTAGGAGAGTAGAAAGCCTCATCTTTCACCCACAGAGTGGCTGGTGGTTTTGAACTGCTGACCTTGTGATGAGCAGCCAATGTGTAACTACTGTGCTGCCAGGGCTCCTATTAAATACCTTCGAGGGTTTAAAAATCAAAACTGCTCCATAGACTATGGCAAGACACCGGACATGGTGTCCAGCTTGCTCTCCACTTCAGAGAATGGACATGCAGGCTGAGCAGCATGTCCCCGGCTAACCCCCAGCCCCCCATCCACACGGTCCTCCTCATCTGTATTGTCCACTTCAAGCGGGCCCTGGGCAGGACAGGAGGGCCTTCCTTGCTCTTTGCAGGCCCCATAACCATTTCCAAAGCCCTTGGAATAGAGGGGAGGTGGTGGGGACATTGTGGAGTCAGCCTCCAGGGGCAGGGCAGGAGCCAGTTCCCAGGGACTGGGACTTACAATCTGTGTACTTACAATCATTGCTACCAGACGGCCCCCTGGGACCACCTTATTGCCTCCTGAGCCTCCTCAGTCCAATTTCCATTTCATTTGGTGTCTGGTCTGTCTGCCTCCGAGGATAGGGCCTGTCCCTTGTCCATTGTTGGGTCAGCCATGTCTAGGCTGGGACCTCAGTCTCCGTGTGGGAGCAGCAAGCCCCGATTGGTGGGAACCCACCAGCAGCACATGAGAGGGAAGGGTTGGCAGCTCAGAGCACCTGTCTGCTGGGGGTCCTGAATCGCCTGCACTGGGATTGGGGCCGGCCCTCAGCCCTCATCCGGACTCGCTCCCTCTGCTTCCTCCCCAGCCGCTCCAACACTTACCCCTACCCTGAGACGCCACTGTACACGCAGACGGCCAGCGCCAGCTACTATGAGGCTACAGGCACAGCCGCCCAGGTCAGCACGCCCGCCACCTCCCAGGCGGTGCCCAGCAGTGGCTCTGTGCCCATGTACGTGTCGGGCAGCTCCACCAGCAGTGGGGGCAGCAGCAGCGGCAGCAGCAGCAGCGGTGGAGGCGGCGGAAGTGGTGGTGGTGGTGGTGGCAGTGGTGGCAGCGGCGGCAGCGGTGCGGGCACCTACGTGATCCAAGGCGGGTACATGCTGGGCAGTGCCAGCCAGTCCTACTCCCATACCACTCGTGCCTCGCCAGCCACCGTAAGTGCCCAACCCAGGCCCCCGACAGGGCAGGCGGGTGGGGGCGGAGGAACCTGGGCAGCAGGGTGGCCTCTGGCTATCAGAAGCAATGGGCACTGGCACCAGCGACAGGAGACCGTCACGGGCCCTGAAGTGTTCAGCTGCCGACGGCTTGGGGTTCCACTCAGCCTGGGTGGTCCGGGATGAGGTACTCAGCCTCTCTAGACTGGAACCTCTCAGGGGGAGGGGGAGTTTGCCCCCAGTAGTGCCAACTCCTGTGGTTAGAACTGGCGATGGCGGATAGATCAGAGAGGGCAAGGCAGGCAGCCCTGGGGGGCAGCTGATTAGGCTGGGGCGCACCTGATAGCATAGTTGTCAGCCTGACGCTTGGGAATTGCTCTGCCGACCCCACTCCCCCCGACCCCCACTCCAGGTCCAGTGGCTGCTGGACAACTACGAGACGGCGGAGGGCGTGAGCCTGCCCCGCAGCACCCTCTATTGCCACTACCTGCTGCACTGCCAGGAGCAGAAGCTGGAGCCCGTCAACGCTGCCTCCTTTGGCAAGCTCATCCGCTCCGTCTTCATGGGCCTGCGCACCCGCCGCCTCGGCACCAGGTAAGGCCCCCACCCCAGGGCCTCTGCACAGCCAGGCCTTCTGCGTGGTCCGTGGCCCCGGCGCCCCATCCTCCTTCCCTGCGGCCTCTCTCCTTGGAGCCCCACCCTGAATAAACGCTCTGTGGGGCGTGCACATCGTCAGTGCATAAACAGGGCTCCGGAAGGAGCCAGTAGGGTGGGGGTGCGGGGGACGGCCACAGGAACGCAGCCTCTGCCTGGCCCTGGTCCCGGAGTCAGCCCATCCCGGCCTTCATTCCATCACTCCCTCAGAGCCGCAGCTTCATCTGTCTCCCGGGGTGTACGGTGCCCCTCGGGGGGTTGAGGAACAAGTAGCGCACAGGGAGCTTAGCGCAGCGCCAGCAAGAGGGAGCCTGATAGGGCCCCACTCATCCCAGTAGCCAGCATGAAGCTGGCCTCGCACCTGCTCCTTGCCGGATCAGGGTTGAGGCGGGAACCGAGCCACTGGCTGCGGGATCCTACTCCTTTGAGTACCACCAACTCTCTGGGGGGGCTTGCCCGCACCCTGCCCCACCTCGTCCTTCCCGGTCCCTCCCTCCCAGGGGCAACTCCAAGTACCACTACTACGGCCTGCGCATCAAGGCCAACTCGCCCCTGCTGCGCCTGATGGAGGACCAGCAGCACATGGCCGTGCGGGGCCAGCCCTTCTCGCAAAAGCAGAGGTAGGAAGGGGCCGCGCTTCGCAGGGTGGTGGGCGAAGCTGGAGCCAGCGTCACCCACCCTGCCACCCGCCCTTCTCTTCCAGGCTCAAGCCCATCCAGAAGATGGAAGGCATGACCAATGGCGTGGCCGTGGGGCAGCAGCAGGCTGCCGGCCTGTCAGACATCAGCGCCCAGGTCCAGCAGTACCAGCAGTTCCTGGGTGAGGATCCCCCGGTCAAAAGCATGTCCCCTGAGGCCGGGAGAGGCGGGCATGCAGCAGGGACTCAAAGCCTAGTAGGGTGCAGTCCCCACGGGTGGGCTTCGTGGGAGTTGTGGTCTGGGGCACAGGAGTCTGGCAGGACCCCTGTCCCTGCTTAGAAGGTGATCCCAAGGCCCCTTTCCAAGGAGACTTCGTGTTCCTTGCCCACGGGGAGCGTTTCTGTGTGACTGAGCTCTAGTGGCACAGCGGTTAAAGGGGCTCGGCTGCAAACCGACAGCTGCTGGTTCACTCCCACCTCGAGGGTGTCGTCCTGAGCACGGCGGCCGTCTCCGTGGGCCATTGTGCTTGGTCCTGCAGGGCCATGGGGAGTCAGCACCTACGCCACAGCACTGGGGGGTTTGGGACTGAGCCCCCACATCAACCCCCTCCATGCTAAAACATTCCAAACCACTGACTGGGGTGGTTCCGGGTCAAGGCACCATGTGGGCAACACCTCATGCACGCTCCCAGCGCAGGTCTGAGCCAGCTCACGGAGATGTGCGCAAGAGACTCAGCCTTTCTCAAAACAAATGTCTCATCCAAGGACACAGAAAAAGCAATCCCTGGGCTGAGCAAACCCCACTGGGTGCTGGTGCCTTGTGGTGGTCCCACCCTGGCCCTGGGCTGAACAAACCCTACAAGTGGAGGGGTGTCCTCTGGGCAGACTGCCCTCGGTCCTCCCCTCCCTGGGACTCTGGGGCTACAGGAAAGCTCCCCTGTGCTCTTGACTGGTGCTGCTTCCTGGCTAGGTGGGTGGGCACAGGTCCCAGGGCAAGCTGTGGTGGGATGAGCTTCTCGCAGGCTGCAGGGGAGAGGCACAAGGACCCTATAATCCCGGACACACACTTTCTGGGTGGGAGTCCTGCCCTCCCCTAGCCTCAGAGCCTCCCTCCCCACCCTTCTACATATGAAGGGGCCACTCACTGGGGGGGTGGGGGGGTGGGCAGGCAGGGGTGAGGACCTCATGGTGTGCGCCCTGCCCCTCCCAAAATCTTTCCCCTCAGACGCCTCCCGGAGCCTGCCTGACTTCTCAGAGCTGGACCTCCAGGGCAAAGTGCTGCCTGAGGGCGTCGGGCCCGGGGACATCAAGGCCTTCCAGCTCCTGTACCGGGAACACTGTGAGGTAGGACTGCTGGGCAGGGGGGCTGCCAGCAGGGGTACCACCAGAGGCAGGGGGCAGAACATGCGGCTCTGCCCCCCTGAGCCCCCGGCTCCCACCAGGCCATCGTCGACGTCATGGTGAACCTGCAGTTCACGCTGGTGGAGACCCTGTGGAAGACCTTCTGGAGGTACAACCTCAGCCAGCCCAGTGAGGCACCGCCGCTGCCTATGTAAGTCCCCTGGTTGGGCACCACGCAGGAGTGGGATAGGGGGTTCTCTCCTGGGGATGAACAGGGCAGGGAGGTGCCTATGTGCAGCAGGCTCATTCCAGTTTGATCTGGGACTGAGGAGGCATGAAGACCCCGCCTGACCCCTGGGGTGGGGCCCACAGACACGACGAGGCTGAGAAGCGGCTGCCCAAAGCCAGCCTGGTCCTCCTCTCCAAGTTCGAGCCTGTGCTGCAGTGGACCAAGCACTGTGACAACGTGCTGTACCAGGGCCTGGTGGAGATCCTCATCCCCGACGTGCTACGGCCCATCCCCAGTGAGTGTGTGCCCCCACCCCCCTCCCAGCCACCTCAGACCACGCTCCCCACAAGCCCTGACCAGCCCCTGGGCTGCCCACAGGTGCCTTGACCCAAGCAATCCGGAACTTCGCCAAGAGCCTGGAAAGCTGGCTCACCCACGCCATGGTGAACATCCCCGAGGAGATGCTGCGAGTGAAGGTGAGGGTGGGGCAGGGCCCCCAGGGGTGGCCTTGGGGCAGGGGGCCCTGGATGTCAGCACGTGAGCAGCTTGTCCACCACAGCTTCATGAGTCCAGGCCTTCAGGGCATGGAACCTTGCCAAGGCTGCCAGAGAGCCGTCACAACACTGGGAGTAGAAAGCCTTGCCTTACTCCCGTGGAGCCGTCCGTGGTTCCTGACCACCACGCCACCAGGGCTGGAGAACAGTGCTCATAGTTGCAGCGGAAGCCCCCGGGTAGCGGAGCCTCAGCCCCAGCCAGGAAAGCCGAGTGCAGAGTAGTAGGAGTAGTTCTTTTCAGGCAGCTCCATGGACCTATGTGCAATGTTCCAAAGGGGGAGAGGGTATTTATCAGGAAACCACTGGAGGTGGCTGCACATTCAGTAACCATGTAGGAGATCGGATGGGCAGGCTGGCTCTTGGGCAAAAAAGTTATATTTTTAAATTCCTTCAGACGCTAAACAGGCATGTTTCTTTCTTTAAAAAAAAAAATCTACATTTAAGGTTTGCACAGAGTGAGTTTCTTGAAGTGGGACACTTCGGAAAAGAAATTCAAAGAGCCCCCACATTTTTTAGGACAACCTACCCGGAGGGAGGTCGGCAGAGTGCCCTGTGGGTGGGGACATGGGAGGCCTGAGGAGAGGAAAGTGGGGTACAGGAGACCCCGGGAAGAGGCACTGTGGTCAGGTACTGTCTGTCACCTGTGAGCCCAGAAGGCAGCTTTCTGCCTTGGAGCGGACCTCTGTCTCATGGGCACAGAACGAGACAACCTTTCCCGCGCAGTCCCCACCAGTACTTGCTACCATGGTCTCTAAAGACAGACAGCTGGTTAGAAGCCAGTTAGTCAGGGGCGGCAGGGCACACCCAGATGGAGGGGCCTCTGACGGCTGATGAGCCACCTCCATCCCGCGCCAGCCCTGCTGGACTCGCTCCCCTCCCCCCCCCCATGAGTAAAAGGAAACCCCCAGCCCAGAGAGGCTGCTGACGTCTGTCTGAAAGGCGAAGCCCCGCTGACCCTGGCCCCAACCCAGGAAGGGGTGTTGGGAAGCTGGGTACTGGCCATGGAAGCCTTAAGCACACACACGCACATCCCCTTTCCTGGGATGCACCAGGTGGCGGCGGCCGGTGCCTTCGCGCAGACGCTGCGGCGCTACACGTCGCTCAACCACCTGGCGCAGGCAGCGCGCGCGGTCCTGCAGAACACGGCGCAGATCAACCAGATGCTGAGCGACCTCAACCGCGTGGACTTTGCCAACGTGCAGGTGAGCGCGACGGGGCCCGTGGGCACGGAGCAGTCGGGGAACCCGGACACAGAGCCACAACTGAGCCCTGGCGCCACCCGCTGTACCCTAGGAGCAGGCCTCGTGGGTGTGCCGCTGTGAAGACCGAGTGGTGCAGCGGCTGGAGCAGGACTTCAAGGTGACGCTGCAGCAGCAGAACTCACTGGAGCAGTGGGCCGCCTGGCTGGACGGCGTGGTGAGCCAGGTGCTCAAGCCCTACCAGGGCAGCGCCAGCTTCCCCAGGGCCGCCAAGCTCTTTCTTCTCAAGTGGTCTTTCTACAGGTGTGCCCCCATGCAGTGGGCTTTGGGGCGGAGCGGGAACCCAGAGAGCCCCTGCCCCTGGACAGGGGTCCTCCCCACCGGCCAGAGCATCAACTCTGGCCACCCCGCAGCTCCATGGTGATACGGGACCTGACCCTGCGCAGCGCCGCCAGCTTCGGCTCCTTCCACCTCATCCGGCTGCTCTACGATGAGTACATGTACTACCTGATCGAGCACCGTGTGGCCCAGGCTAAGGGCGAGACACCCATTGCCGTCATGGGCGAGGTCAGCAGCCAGGGTGTGAGGGCGTGGGCCAGGGCACCTGTGGCGGCGGGGTCCTCACCCCCTCCTCTCCTCTCCCTCCCTGTTCTCCAGTTCGCCAACCTGGCCACCTCTCTGAACCCCTTGGACCCAGACAAAGGTAAGCAGGCTGTATCCCCAGTCTGGGCCGTGCGGGGGGGTTGGCAGGGGCCAGGGGTGAAGGCCAGGTGGCATCGCAGCCAGGCGCTGAGCCCAGCCTGGTTCATGTGCACCAGATGAGGAAGAAGAGGAGGAGGAAGAGAGTGAGGACGAGCTGCCACAGGCTCTCTCGCTGGCAGACGGCAGCGAGTCACCCTCGCTGGGCACTGAGGCCCTGGAGCCACCCGCCAAGCTGGCGAGATCAGATGCACGCAGCCTCTTCGTGCAGGCGCTGCCCTCCAGCTAAGCCCAAGGCCACTGCCCGGTCCCTGCCTGTCCACCCCACCCGCCACCCTCCCTGCCAGGGTCCCAACTGCTTCTGTGGCCTGTCAGCGCTCCAGCCTTGGTCTGGGCCCGGAGAAGCCTCGGAAACACGGGAGGCCTGGGCCCCCGCCTGGCCCAGGGCTGGCCCAATCACTGGCCTGGCAGAGCCACAGCTGCAAACTCTATAACACAAAAGATGTGCCTTAAGGAACCTGCCGCCGTGCCCAGGTGCCCCTTGGGGCAGCCAGCTCGGTCCCTTGGCCCCGAAGGCCACAGCATCTTCCCCACCCGCCTTCCCACCACCCAAGGGGGCAGGCAGGCAGGCCCCTCTGACCCACCCCCACAGATCCATTAACTTATTCAGCTCGCTGGCTTTGCACAGCCTATCTGGGGCCCAGCTGAGCCCCAGGCGGGCACAGGTGGGTATCACCTGGGGACCCCGACTGTCAGCAGCCCCACTGCTCCCTTCCCCTTTGGTATTAAGTGCAATTAAAGCCGTGGGTGTTGCATTTTCTCCAGAGCTGGGCCTTCCCTAGCCCCTCAGCTTGAGGGGGGAACTGCCCGGCCCAGCTGTGCCAGGGTGATGGGGTGGGGTGGGGGGTGGGGGCCTGGCCTCCAGTTTCCAAAGAGCACCAGGCGGTTGGCCGACCGGGGCCACCTGCTGCAGGCAGTAGGGGTGGCCATCCAGCGCCTGCTAGGCCCCCTCCCAGGGCCTCTCCCTGTGCTGGTTTGTAGTGGAACCTTCCCCGACACCGCTCTCCCCGCTCCGTGCCGTGCCACCCTGTCCCCCTGAACGACACGACTCCCGTGCGATTTGTGAGTGCCACCAAACGAAGTCAGTAACTCGTTGGGTTTCTCTCCAACTATCATGGCCTTATCTGTTCCGGTTTTCTCGGTGTTTTCGACCCGTGCGATAGATGTTTATGGCAAAACCGAAAAAGGAAAAAAAAACCAGACCTATTGTACAAAAGTCACTCGTGTGTGTGCTCCGCGTGCTACAGCTTTGGGGGCCAGCCCCGCCCACCCGACGCCCCCGCCCCCCCCCTTCCTGGCGGTGAAAGTGTCCACGCGTGTGGTAGTCTAGTGCCGAGCTGTTTTCTATCTTTTTGTAGTCTTTCTTAAAACACAATAAATTCCGCTGTGTTATTTGGCTACTTGCTGACTTGCTGGGCCTTGGGGTGGGGGGAATAAGGATGGGGACAATGCGCAGGACTCCACCCCCCCACCCCCGTGGCAGTGCAGGGAGCTTCGCAAGATTCAGAAATAAACATTTATTACGTGGAGAAGAATCAAAGGGGGGATGGCCAAGAGGTGCCTCCCACAGGGTGGGGAGGGGGGATAGAGTCTAGTGGGGAGGGCAGGGCAATGGCCACACCTGCAATTGGGGGGGGGGCAGATACACAAGAAATTGAGGTGCCCATCTAGGGTGGAGGTGGGCACTCGTGGTTGATGGGGCAGGGGGCTCCCTCCCCTTGCCCCGTCCCAACTTAAATAGGCATAAATAAGAAGCATCCAGACTCTCGGGCCTCGGGATTGCCCTTGCCCAGCCCCCTCCCCGCAGCCTGACACTAGCGCTGGTCTTCCGTCCATCTGTCCGTCGTCGTCCTCATCGCTGGCCGTGGCCGGGAAGAGGCCAGCCTGGGAGCAGCCGGCACCCTGGCCGCGGAGGTAGTTGGAGTCAGTGTCAGGGCGGGGGCCCTCACAGCACGATCCACGTGTACCGTTCGCTGTCCGCCAGGACCTTCAGCGAGCACCCTGCAGGGCAGTGGGGGCACCCTCGTAAGGCTGCTGCTGGCCGGGCACACCTGCTCCTGCTCTGACCCTCACCCACTGGGCCCAAAATGTTCCTGAAGGCACCTCGGAGTGCCAGCAATGCCTACCCGCTGCCTGTAGCATGAAGGAAGGGCTCCCTGGGGCCCCCTCTGAAGCCAGGACAGCCCAGGCTGGTGCTGCGGATCAGCATGTCCGAGGCCCTTGGCCCCCCTCCAAGCCCAGGCTTACCTTTGTGCAGCGCCTCATTGGTCATCCTGTTGACATAGCGGCCGCTGCTCTCGGGCACCAGCCACTTCATCACCATGTCCACGCAGCTCTTGCGGTACGAACTCCAGACACTGCCACTGAGGGGCAAGGCAGCCAGGTGGTCAGCCGCCTGGCCCTGCCATCTCCCCACCCACACCCACCACGCAGCCCACTTGGACCCACCTCACCTGGTCTGCCCTTTGACCTCAGTGAGGTCACCCACGCTGACTGTCATGAAGATGCCAGTGGTGAGGTCCCATGCCACCTTAAGGCTGGTGTGATAGGTCTTAGGTCTGCAGGGGGTGCCGAGGGAGGGGGTGAGCCCATGCAGACCCAGGGGCCTCTAATCGCTGAAGCACCAACAGAGTGACTTATCCAGGATCTTGGGTGGCGGGGGTGGGTAGGTGGGTGGGGACTTTCTCCCACCCCTCCCCTGCTGCTGTGGTTGCTCCTGGGGTGGGGCCCCACCCGCTCACCGGAGCTGGCCCTCCTCAGTGGACGGGAAGGCCAGGAGCAGCAGGCCAATGTTGATGAGGACCTGGTTCGTCTCAGGGCACACCTAGAGGGAGCCGACAGAGAACACCGTTAAGGGGGACCTCGAGACAGGAAGGTGCTGGGCCCGCTCAGTCCCATCCTGGGCCCACCTCCAGGATGACGATGTCATAGTCGCTAAAGGAGCAAAACTGGTGGCCCCAGGTGGCATCATGGCGGATGACCTCATTGATGACGTACTCAAAGTCCAGCGTGAGCTGCTCCACCGTCAGGTACTGACCCTGTGGGCAGGGGAGCAGGAGTCGAGAGGGCCTGTGACGGCCTCCCTCTACCAGCAGGCTTCCTGGAGCCACCACCACCTGGCACCAACCTGCACAGCTGTCCGCTCTCTCATGGGCCGGAGGTTGCGGCCCCGGAGGTCGGTCACCACAAAAGGCAGGGAGATCTTGTCATCCTCAAACTCTAGGAGGGCGGGGCGGCAGGAGGTAGAGCCAATGGGTCAGAAGACCCAGAGGCCCCACACTGTCCACCACCACCACCCCCTCCCCAGGCCCCCCGGCTCACCGTCCTCTGGCTCTGCCCCCTCCCCAGACTCCAGCACGTAGTGCAGCTTGGTATAATTGATGTAGCCAGGCTCCAGGGCAGGGAGCTCTGTTGCAGGGGGGCTATCCCGGGGCACTGCCTCCCCGCCTGGCTCCAGGGGCTCTGCAGGTGGGCAGCAGCGGCTGCCTGAGGGCCCTGGGCAGGGGGGTGGCCGGACTTCCTCGGAGGGCCCACCCTTGGCCTCTTTGGCCCTGCGGAAGATGTCGGCCACAAACTCCTTGGCTTTGGCGATGGCGGGTGAGGGCTCGGGGGCCCCCACGGGCCGGACTGGGGCAGCCTCAGGAGAGAGGCTGGGGAGGGCTGGGGGCACCTCTGGGCTCTGGGGCAGTGGAGAGCTGGGGCGGGGCAGGGGCGAGGCTGTGTGGTCATACAGGATTTGGCAGAAGCTGCCATCGCCTGGAACAAAAGAGAGAAAAGAGATGACAAGAGACGCTCTCCTAACCGCCCTGGATGAGCATCCTCTCAACGAGGCCCCAAAATGCACCTTGAGGAGACCCTTTTAGGAGACTCGCCAGAAATATTATATTTTTACAAATGAAACCACCACTGAACACTCTCCTTCCAAAGGATTCCATTTTACCTGAGAGTCACCTGTACGGACCACAAGGCCCTCGGGCCATGGTGTGCCGACCCCCATTCTGGCCTCATCTCAAGCAGAAGGCACAGCAAGGGTGGGACAGACTAAACCCTGCCTCAGGGAGCGGCCAGCCACAGTGGGGGCAGACGAGCGCCATGTGACCGCGCGTCCACGCAGCCCTGTCTGTCCATCCTACCACGTCAGCCTCCACCTCAGCCTCCCTGCTGGGCGTCCACTTTCCAGGGGGTGGGTGGGTGGGATGAGGGTCAGCACGGAGAACACAGCCCCTGTTCCCAGAGCAACCGTGTGGCGGGCCCGGGCGAGGCCTCTGCCTGCAACGGCTTCCTTGGGGCTCCAGAAAGCAGTCTAGGAGAGTGGGCAGGGTTCTCCCACGTCAGAACAAGGACAGAGACCCAGAGATGCCTGTCCGTGGTCATCCTGTGAGGTCACGTGGTGGGACCGACACTGGTCAGAAGTCCCGCGTGACGTCTCCTATGGCGACACTGCACACAGCTCTGGTAGTGCTGCTCCCCGGGTCGGGGACCAACAGCCGCGAGGGTGCAGCGCTGCAGCCCATCTGGGCAGGCACCCTGTGGGCTCACGGCCACCAAGGAGGTGGAGAGGCCTCAGTGACAGGGCCCTGCTCACTGTGGCTCAGTCAGCTAGGAGCCGAGATGCCCCTGGATGTGTCTGAGGACCAAGGTGCCCAGCTGCCTGCTTGGCGGCAGGTTTAGAGACCCCCGTGGCAGACACGTTCATGTGTCTGGTGTGCATCTGTCTGTCTGCTGCTTGCCTTTTCACGTAAGTGGGATCAGTCACTGCTCCTACGCTGCTTCCCACACGGGCGTTGTACCTTGAAGCCCCACCCAGGACACTCTTAGACGTAGGCTCCATGGTCTGCTCCCCTCAAAGCCTGTCTCACCCACCAGCCCTCGGTTGGTGCCAGCTCCCCCACTGCTGCCCTGGCCATGCCCCATGGTCTGGGGGAATCCCCCAAAGGAGAGGCTTGAGCCCAGAGTCAACAACCAGGGCAGCACATGCTGGCTGCCCAGCAATCAATCTCTGGCTCAGAACATCCCACGTGCCCAAACTAAAGTACAACAGACCATGCAGCTCGTTGACAGCCGAGCCACGTGCTCAGCAGCCCCCCGTGGGACCTGCTGGCCACAGCGGACCAGAGCGCCGATGGAGGAGTTGACCCCACGGGACGGCGCTGTGGCCGCCCCAGTGTGGGCCTGGCTGTCCAGGGACCGGCCTCACGGGTCTGTGGACAGGGCCAGGCAGGGGCAGGCCTACCTGCCGAGTGGACGGAAACGGCACAGGCCACCAGGGAGTAGCTGGTGTTGAGCAGCACCACCTGGTCCTTCTTGAGCTGGAAGGCGGGCTGGAAGGTGGGGAAGGGGTAGACCACCTGGTACTTGGTGTGCAGCATGAAGCCGTGCCGCAGGCACTGCGCGCTTGAGTCGCCTGCAGCAACACAGGCCACACCGGTCTCACCCGCGGCCCCCAGGGGAGGCCGAGGCAGCCCACGACCCCCTCGGGCCCTGGCCCTCACCTGGGTGGGCCCGGCCAGCATCTCGGCAGGCGGCACAGTGGCCCATGGCTGGCACGGCCACGGTGCTGATGTAGATGTCGCGGTGGTTCTCGTCACTCATCATCATCATGTTCATGAGCATCCCGTTGGCCGAGCGCGTGCTGGAGGCAGCACAGCCTCAGCCACCCGGACTCCGTCTATGGCCCCACGACAGCCCCTCGCCCGCCCCGAGCCTCCCAGCCCTGCATCTCACTTGAAGCCGAAGACAATGACCTTGGAGGCATCGCTGGGCCACTCGCAGACCGTCAGGTACAGGTCGCTGTAGATCTCCTCGTCCTGGAAGAGCCGCACCTGGCGTACCTGAGGGGCAGGGCCAGGGCTCAGTGGGGCTGCCGAGTGGGAGCCAAGGCCGCGCTGGGGCTATCGCAGGCACCCGCTTCATTGGCTCAGCCCCTGCCCCATCTCTGGCGAGGCTTCATTTCTAAGTGGGGGTGGAGGGGTGGGGTGGTGGCCCCCTCCTGCACAGTGGTGGGCCTCAGCCAGACACACTGCTTCCAAGGTTAGCTAAAGGTCTCAACAAGTCCCCTCCCGCTTCTGAGCTCATCTGTAAGCCAGAACCCACCTGATGGCGGCCTCAGGAGCCAAAGGCCAGTGTGGCCTCCTGGGGGGGTTAGGGGGCAAGGACAAGTCCCACAGGGCCTGTGCTAGTGAGTTAGCCCAAAGGGAACTGCCTCGATTCCCCACCTTCACTCTACGGGCAGCAATCCCACATGGCGGATGCTAAGGCAGAGCGTCCACCACGACCCCGTGACACACAAGCCAGCTGCAGATGCCAGGGTCCTGGTTGTCTGTGGGGTAGCCCGGGCAGCCTGGTGGGGAGCCCGTGAGAGCTGAGCGCAGCCCTACCAGCTTGAGCTTGCTGTGGACATTGAACTCCCACCAGTACAGGTGGTAGATGTAGAAGGAGAAGTCATCGTCCCCGCTGCTGCTGGTATAGGACAGGACGTAGCGGCCACACTTGGAAAAGCCCAAGAAGATGTGTCTGGGGGCGAGGAGCAGAGGCAGCGGCTCAAGGGGGAGCCCCCTCCACCCTCACCACCCCAGCCGGGCCCCCTTCTAACCCTGCATAGAGGAAGTCCTCATCCACGATGCTCTTGAGGGACACGCAGACCCTGGGCGGCAACTTCCGGAAGAGGCGAGGGGACAGCTGCCCGCTGATCTGGGGAGGGGGCAGCGCATGACCTCAGTACCACCGCCCCACACCCTCTGACCACCACATTCCTCACCCAGAACAGATCAGCCCCCTCATTATGCCCACCAGCGACCCAGGCAAGGGTAGGAAGCCCCAGTTCCAGAAGGTAGAAACTGGGTCTGAGGCACAGGGGTCACCGGTGAGAACACTGAAGCCTGATGCTGGCACCTGGCCTCCAAGGCCACGCTTCAGCCTCGGGTCCCTTCTGCCCTGGTGGCATCTCCCCTGGCCCACACTGGACCCCAGCTCCCTCCCTGAAGTCTGGGCTTGAGGGTGGTCAGCCACGCTGGGATGGCTATGTGACCTGCGCCTAGCAGGCCCAACCCACTGGCTCATTCATGTCCAAGGTCATGATGGAGAAGAGGCCTGATCAGGGAGCTCCCCGACTGATGGGAGAGGAGTTCCGTCGTCCAGGAGGACCCAGTCTGAGAGAGGAAACAGATTGGCTCAGGGGGGGCACGATCTCGGCTTGAGAGTTCCCAGCTCTGTCAGGGCAGCCCCATAGGCAAGAGGAGACAGGAGCTGCCTCCAGATTGAGGGCGGAGTCACAGCCCTACGCCAGGGAGTTCCTAGACTGCTCTGCCCAGAGAGCTCCCAGTCAAATGGGGGAGACACAGCCCTGTCCAGAGACACAGTCCTCTGTGGTGGCGACCCTCCTAGATCTCTCCATTGCTTGGAGGGAGATTGCAGGGCGCAGGGAGCTCCGTGTCTGGAGAAAAGGACCTGGCGCTATCAGGATCAGGAGAGCTCCCTCCAGGTCAATGGGGCAGGCAGACTCGGGTACCGTCGCTGTCAGCTCCCGGGTGCTCAGAGCACGGACAGAGCGGGGCACTGGGCTGGGGACGCCTGCGGCGGGCCCGGGAGGCTCGGCAGAGGAGGGGCCACGTGAGCGGGGCTCGGGAAAACTGAGTTTGACCGGGACCGAGGTGGAGAGGCCTCAGTGACAGGGCCCTGCTCA